TCTAATTGCCTGTATCACATGGATTATAATTGCTTGTCATCTGTCTTCTCCCCACAGGGCACCTGGGACTAGCTTTCCTCCCTGTCCTGAAAACTGGTCCAGACCCACATACCTATCCCCTTCTTTCATGTACATTGCTTCCTCTACCACATATGTACTCTGAATCTAAAAAAAACCTCTTCTCTTCAGCCCCACAGATCCCAGCCTCTCCCATAGATGATGCCAGAAGCCACTCCTATAGCCACTCTGCTGTTTAACGGTTAAAACCCTGGAGTGGCTTCCCTTTGTTCTCAGAATCAAATCTTTGCTCATTAGCATGGCATTCAAGGCTCTGCCTGACCTTGCCTTATCATAAAATCCAAGAACTCTGTGGAGAGGCCTAGAAGACAGAGATCATTTGCTTACAATTAAAAACTATGACAGGAAATATTGTTTTAGAATTTATTTTCAGAGCTTTTGTTTACATATGGGGTGTGGTGTGTAAAAAAAAAAAAAAAAAAAAAAAAAAAGGTCCTGTTTCAGGGTCCTGAGTGGGCTGAATATGCTGGTATAGGCAGTGATTCCCAGACTTGTGAATTTTAATAGCAAGTAGGCTTCTTTCTTCCTTCCTTCCTTCCTTCCTTCCTTCCTTCCTTCCTTCCTTCCTTTCTTTCCTTCCTCCCTTCTTTCTTTTTTAAATTTGAGGATGTGTAGGGCTGCCAACTTCCTATTTTGCAAAGTAAGCACATTAAAGAAAACACTGCCATCTTTTCATGAAATAAAGGACTTTTGTATACCAAAAAGCCTATGATTTCAGAATAAAGGTCAGTCCTCTAGCTTTATGGGGAAAAACTTGCAACAACAACCTCATTTTTCTCCTTTCGCCTGGGACTGGTAAAGACCTGATGTGTGATGTCAGGCATTTGGGGGAACTGTTGTAGCACTTGTGCTCGCCCTCCCCTCCGCCAGCTAGCCTCTGTAATTCCCACTGAAATGCACGAAGTCTTTGTCTCTTAATTGGCCTGCACAGTGGGGAGTTCAGGGGGAAGGGGAGGCATTGCTCCTTTTCCCACCCCTATGGTGTGGGGCCCCACAAACTAGTTTGGTTAAGAGGGATTAACTAAAGGTTGTGCCAGAAAAGAGGAAGCAGATGGAAGGGCTGTTGAGATCATGAGCACAAGCTAAGCTGCCTTGGGTCCCATAAGCCTTTGTCACTGCCCTCTTTCTCCATTCTGGCCCCCCAAGGATCAATGGGAGTGGCACTCTTGACATGGACAGTGTTGCACTCTAGTGGCTCCTTCCACTCCACAGTGGTGGTGGCAAGGGCAGCCGTGGCAAGGCTTTTCCAGTGGCCTGGTGGGCCGATGCTACTAGTGATTTTGTCTTTATTTTACTTTTAAATATTTATGATTGAAAGTATTACATATCCCCCCCTTTTTTCCCCATCAACCACCTTCACCCACCCCAGTACTCCACCCCAGGCCCTCACCACTGGTGGGAGTAATTTTGGCCATGGGTGAAGGAGGCCCCGTTGGGGGACTTTGCAAGGAAGGGTCTGTGGCACTTGTGATCTAGACTGGAACTCTGCACTAGTGATAGTGAGATAGAGCTGTTTTGGAATTTAGAGAACTTTTCCCAAGACTATGGTGTGTAATGAGGGTGGGGGCAGAGGTTGGGAAATGGCGGAATACCAGGCCAACCCTCAGAAGTCCTCCCAGCTCCATCTGTGCCTCTCTTGTCCTCTCAGACTCAACTCCCCTGATGGCCATTTGTCTATGGCATCCTTCTCTGTCAGAGCTGAGGAAAATAGGGCTTTTAAGGAGAGGAGCTTGTCAGGCCAAATGGTTTTCCAATTGGTGACAATTTTCAGGATGTGAGAAGTTCAGGAAAGTGTAAGGAGTTGCAAGAGGGTGGAGACAAAGGCCGGCTGGGCCAGGAGTTGGCCCCAGCTCCCATGTTCAGGGGCAGTGGGGAGTGTATGTGTGTGTGTGTGTGTGTGTGTGTGTGTGTGTGTGTGTCCAGGGGCAGACACAGAATAAGAGTTTCTAAGTGTAGAATTTCCTGTTTGTAAATCAACTCCATATTCTATTTCAATTCAGCAGGATTATCTGACTGACAGGATTATCAAAGTCTGGGCTGGTCCTCAGCTTGGCAGACTCAGGACCTAGATGTCATCAGCCTTTTCGGACTCCCACTAACCTAATTTACATGAGACTTAGAGACTAGCCTGGGCCCAGATGAGCCATTTTACTAAGTACATAGGAAGAGTTAACTGGTAGGATAACTGAACTCAGACATTTTCAATATTTTGATTAATTACCTTTTTTTTGAGTAGGTGTCTTTAGGCACATGGTAAACATTACCCTTTTACTTAAAAAAATATTTTTATTGATTTTAGAGAGGAAAGGGAGAGAGATAGAAACATCAATGATAAGAGAGAATTATTGATTGGCTAACTCCTTCACATCTCACACTGGGGATTGAGCCTGCAATCCAGGCATATGACCTCCTGGTTCATAGGCCGACACTCAACCACTGACCTACACCAGCTGGACAATATTACCCTTTTCTATTGATTCTTATATCTGTGTCATCCTGTGTTCTGGTGGAGCACACTGTTTAGGTCTAGGACCATCATCTGTTAATAGTCATCCTTGTCACCCCTGGCTGGTGTGGTATAATGGTTAGGCATTCTCCTTGTGCACCAGAAGGTTGCCAGTTTGATTCCCAGTCAGGGCACATGTCGGGGTTGTAGGCTAGATACCCGGCAGGAGGTGTGCAGGAGACAACCAATTGATCATATCCATGTTTCTCTTTTCCTCTCCTCTCTCTCTAAAACATTCAATACAAATATTTTAAAAATATTCATCCTTGTCAGAGTCCAAGCTGCTAGAACAGAGGCCAGCAAACTTCTCTGTAAAAGGCTAGGTGGTAACTATTTTAGGCTTTGTGGCCTCCATGATCCCCGTCACAATAACTGAACTCTGCTGTGCCAGCACAGAGATAGCCATCAACAATACAGAAATGAATGAGTGTGGCTCTGTGCCCACAAACTTCATGGGCCTTGACATTTGAATTTCATATAACTAACTCTCCCACGTCACAAAATAATCTTCTTTTGACTTTTTCCCCCAAACATTTAAAAATACAAAACACTCTTAGACTGCAGGCCATGCAGAGGGACAGGTGGGCTAATTACCCCTGAGCTAGAAGATAGTTTTCCTGTGTATTACAGCATCACCAGTGTTCTGCCAGCGGGATTCAGGTGTCTGCATTACACATGTACAAGTTAGAGCTCCTGGCGGGTGTGACAGTCCAGGGCATGTTGACTGAGATGGCCTCAAACAGAGGCTGCATTTTCCCCACCTCCTCACTGTAGGCCACCGACTTTCCACTACTTCAATTAACCCTTAACACAACCTTATTGAGTCCAGCCAGGATTTCATCTCTGCCTGACTCCAAAGCACATGTTCTTAGCCATTCACCCACGGGGCTTCCTAGTGATCCCTTTGTGCCAATGGACACTAAGAAACTGGAGCTGATTTACTCCTCAACCTCAAGGAACCTCCATTTTGCTTCTTTCCCCTCATTAATCATTGAGGTGTTACATGAAATTGTGAGGAATAAAAAATAAGGGCAAAATACCTAGAATATACCATGCATGTAATATGTGTTCCATAATAGCTATTTCTGCTGATAGTGACACAGAATACGTAAGCACTGCCCTGAAAATCCAAACAACCACTTACTCCTGAGGATTTATTTTTCAAGCCCCAGGATTCAGGACAATGGATGGAAGTCACAGGCTCCATTTCACCCTCTGACCCTTAACCCTCACTATGGCACAGAGGGTGATTGATGGAAGACACTGGTGTGTGTGTGGGGGGGGGGGGGGAGTGGAGGTGTGGGGCACAGGAAGTCTGCGAAGGGACACTGGGTGAACGTGGTAGCAGCTGCCCTTTAAGGACGATGTGGCCAAACGCAGCCCATGTCCAACAATGGTAGGGACAGGCTCGATGCCCCTGCTCTGCCCCTCAGGGCAGTGGTGCTGCTTTTTCTTTGTCCTCGAAAGCTGGCTGCAGCTGGAGCCCTTCTTGAGGGCGTTCATGTCCAAGGCTGAATGGGCATGTGGCTCTTCAGGGCAGTGCCAGAGTCTGATTTTGCCAGGTCCAGGACAAGGACTTAGTTTGCAGGGGCTCATGGGAAAGGACTGCAGCGCGTTTGTCTATTCTTGAGCACGTTTCCAGAGCGGCTCTGCAGATAGGAACGTAGGCTTTCGGCGCATTCATCAAAGTCCTAACCCCTAGTCCCCTGGGCCCGCGGCGCTCCAGTTTAATCCACCCCCCACCCCTTCCTTCTGGCCTGCCCTGGCGCCCCGACCTCGGGCTAGTTTCCTCCAGACGTATTGCTGTTTGCTAACCGCCGCCAGACACCAAAACAGCCCTTTTTGTTAATCTCGGGACAGGGTTCCACTCGTTTCCTGCAGGCATCAGCCAGTGGGCGGTCAGCCAGCGGCTCCTAAAAACTAAGCTCGGCCACAACGACTGAGGCCAAAGCGCGGGTGCCATCCTGCAACTTCTAGGGAAGAGCCTTTTACCCTGGGGACACCAAGGTCAGAAGGGGTAGAGCCCTGTCCAAGGGTCACCGCCCTGGGTCCCGCTAGGGCCCAGAGTCTGGCGCACTGCGTGTCATTTCCAGGCCCCTGGCTCCTTCCCTGCTGTGGACTCCCTGCTCCGGGCCCGCAGGGTCCACCTCGGAGACCTCCATCTCCAGGACCCGGATGGGAAGGGCCTGCGGGCAGCTCGCGGATGCTGGCCCCGCACCCAACCCAGACAACCTCCCCCGCCGGGTGTCCTCTGGATCCGCCCCTGGCGCACCAGCCCCGCCCCCGAAACTGCGAGCTCCCCCGGCAGCTCGCGCCTCTGACGCAAACCCTACACCCCCCCTCCGATCCCCTCCTCCTGCCCCCGCACCCAAGCCGGGCGCGCACCCAGCGTCCGCGCTCGTGCGCGCCCCTGTCAGCACCGGGAGCGCGCAGCACGCTCCGGCTCTGGGCGGGTCCTGCGGTGTCGGCGAGGCTCCTCCCCCTGCTGCTCCTCCCCTCTCCCCGCTCCATCTGGACCTACTCCTCGGGTGCTCTCCCGCAAAGTGTCCTCCTCTGGGTCCCCTCTGTCTGCTCCCAGTCATGGTGGCCTGGCGCTCGGCGTTCCTCATCTGCCTCGCTTTCTCCTTGGACACTCTGGTCCAGAGAGGTAAGGCGAGCGGGGTGCACGCGGGGACCACTCCCACCCCACCCCCCGGGGCCCGTGGGGCGGGGGCTCGACGCCCTTGCGGCCCGGCGGTGCGCATGAGCGGCCCTGTGCCCGCCCCAAAGGGCCTGCGCCGGACACAGTTGGAGGCGGGGGGGGGGGGGGGGGGGGGGCGGGAGCGCGAACCCCAAGCCCACGGGGGGCTGAACCCTGCTGCCGTCCACGTGGCCGGAAGGGAGGCAGCGGGACCCCTTCTGGTGCTGGGCTGGAAACAGCAGGAGAGCACCCCTTAGGATCCTGAACTAGGTGTCACCACTGGTGACAGCAGCTGTCCTCAGGAGAGTGCCTTTGGGAAACCTTGAAGAGAGCACTCCTTTCCCTCCAGCGGAGCTCCCCGAAATGTGTTTCTAGGCCACCTGCACAGAAAACACCTGGAGAGCTTCTGGGGCGCATTCCTACCCCACTTTTCAAGATCTCTGCAGAGACTGTGTAGGTCTACCCAGCTCCCCAGGTGCCTCTGGTGACCTCCCCAGTTTTGGAACCATTAATGATATTTGGCCAAAGATGGGGAGAGAGAAATCCTGCCGAATCAAGGCAGGAAGTTTCTTAGATCCTGGCTCTTCAAAGTGTGGTCCAGGGCCACTCTCCATCACCTGGGACTTGTTAGGAATGCAGCATCTGGAGACCCCTGCCTCTGATCTAGGAGTCAGATTCTCCATTTTATCTAGATCCCTGGGTAATTTGCACTCAAGTTTGAGAAGCGTCTTAGAATAAGTTGTCTGTGGTTAAAAATAGGGTCTCACACTGGTACTGGCAGAATCTCCTCATAATTATTTATATCCCATCCCCACATTTAAAAAAAAAAAAACACTGCAGTTGAGTACAGAATTGTGCTCCAAGCTTCCTGACAACCAAGGCAAATTCAACGAATGAAAATCAAATGAGCTGAGCAAAAATAAGTTTGTCCTCGTACTGACTTCTTGTGGGATTTATGTTACGCATAAGGAGCACTGGGAAACAGTAGACGGTGCTAGACAAAATAGTTTTGCAAAAGACGCAGAAATGTTTCTCATCTGGGCAATTCTCCTGGAGTTGGTACAACAAGGGACAAAGGCGCCAGGCTCTGTTTTAGACACTGGTAGTGCCTTGAACAGAACTGGACTGTCCTCATGGAGCTGATACTCTGGTGGGGGGTGAAAACAATGACCAACATGACAGTCCATATGGCATATTGTTAGTGCCTTGAAGAAAAACAAAATTACAGGGCTGTGGAGTTTTCTATTTCTTTTTTTGGTTAAAAATTTAAGTTTGTGTATAATTCATTTGTGGGAAAAAGTATAGTCACTTAATTGACTTGTATCTAATGATGTGGAAAATTTGAGTGTGGAAGCACAATAAAAGTTAGAAAAATGGTAATCTTTGAAAGGCTATCTTCTGAAAGTTTTCAACATGCTACGTACATTGAGAAGGTGAGGAATGTAAATGATCAAGTCTCAGTTTTTCACCATCATGTGTTACACTAGGTGATTTAGGAGGTGGTGGAGGAAACCGCGAAATGGTAAAACCATTAAAAACATTTTTTGTGGCCCAGTCAGCATGGCTCAGTGGTTGAGCATCAACCCATGAATCAGGAGGTCATGGTTCGATTCCCAGTCAGGGCACATGTCCGGATTGTGGACTCGATCCCCAGCAAGGGATGTGTAGGAGGCAGACGATCACTGATTCTCATCATTGATATTTCTATCTCTCTCCCTCTCCCTTCCTCTTTGAGATCAATAAATTTTTAAAAATATATTCTTTTATTTAATCCTCAATTGAGGATAGTTTTTAAAATGATTCTTTACTGTTGAAAGTATTACATATGTTCTGAAACCGGTTTGGCTCAGTGTATAGAGTGTCGGCCTGCAGACTGAAAGGTCCCAGGTTCGATTCCGGTCAAGGGCATGTACCTTGGTTGCGAGCACATCCCCTGTACAGGAGGCAGCTGATCGATGTTTCTCTCTCATTGATGTTTCTACTGTAACTCTCTCTCTCCCTTCCTCTCTGTAAAATATCAATAAAATATATTAAAAAACAAAACAAAACAAAGTATTACATATGTCCCCCTTTACCCCCCATTGACCCCCTCCAGCCTGCCCCTACCCTACCCCAGGCCTTCAGCACCCTAAGATATATATATATATATATATATATATATATATATATATATGTATGTATATGTATATATATATATGAATGATCTTTGGTTGATTACCTCCAACCCACTCACCGTTCCCCATGTTCCCTTTGAGATTCTGCACTATGTTCCATGCTTCGAGTCTCTGGATCCACTTGGTTCAGCAGTCAAGGATATTTTTTCCATATTTTTTTCAGAGAGTGGAAATGAGGGAGGGAGGGAGGGAGGGAGAGAGAGGAGTGAGAGAGAGGAGTGAGAGAGAGAGAGAGAGAGAGAGAGAGAGAGAGAGAGAGAGAGAGAAGAAACATCGATGTGATGTTAGAGACACATCAGTTACCTCCTGCATGCGCCCTGACCGGGGCTGGGGATCGAACTTGCAACCCAGGTACGAATCCTTGACCAGTAGTGAATCCGAAACACTTCGGTGTGTGGGCCGACACTCTACTGAGCCACACCTGCCAGGACCAGTGAAATCATTTTACAGATGAGTAAATGGAGGCGAATAACTTCCCTCATGTGGCAAAGCTAAGATTTCATCCAGTCTTGTCTGATTCCTGATGCCACAGTCCTTGCTTTCAAGCACTATATACACTGAGTGGTCAGATTAAATGCATAATAATCTGGCCTCTCTCTCTCTCTCTCTCTCTCTCTCTCTCTCTCTCTCTCTCTCTCTCTCCATCTATCTATCTATCTATCTATCTATCTAATTATCTATCTATCTATCTATCTATCTATCTATGAGGTCCAGTGCATGAATTCGTGCATGGGTGAGGTCTGCCGGCCAGCCTGGCCAGGGGGATGGGACATGGGCAGTTGGCTGATCTGCCTGCTGGTCGAACTCTTGGTTAAGGGGACAATTTGCATATTAGCCTTTTATTATATAGAATATACACTGAGTGGCCAAATTATTATGTGTTCAGAGGTCATAATAATCTGGCCACTCAGTGTATATGCCCTTACTCTTGGAATCTGCCCTCCTACAGCTTACTGGCCAAGTGGCCTTGGTAAAGTACTCTGAACCTTAGCCAGTTTGCTTATCTGGATAGTGCCCAACAACTCACAAAGATTTGTGGAGGGGACCAGGCATGTATCACTCTCAGATCTGCAGTGCTGTACCAGCTATCATCTCCAGGGTGCTTGCTGTGTGCTAGGCACTTCACACTTATTCGTTTTAATTGCCCCAACAATTTTGCTGTCCTTCCAATTGAGGGACACCTGGTCAAATAGCTTAAAAGAGAGAGAGCCAGGGCTGCTACCCAGTGAGCTTTTTACATTTTATTTATTTTTAAAATATATTTTAATTGATTTTTAGAGAGAGAGGAAGGAGTGGAGAGAGAGAGAGAGAGAGAGAGAGAGAGAGAGAGAGAGAGAGAGAGATATTGAGATTGGCTGCCTCCTGCACAACCCTTACCAGGGATTGAGCCTGTAATCTGGGCATGTGCTCTGATCGGGAATCGAACCTGCAACCTTTTCATGCAAGGACCATGCCCAACCAACTGAGCCACACTGGCCAAGGCCCTTTTTATTTTAAGTAAGAAAGCTGAACCAGAAGAAGCTTTTGCTTCAAGGTAGGGATCCAGGTTTCTAGATCTTTTGTGCAAAATACAATGATAATTATGGGTTTTGCATTGGTGGCTTTTTTTTTTCCCCCCCGAGATATGTGGGCAGTTAGTTTTAGAGTGGCTGTGTCTCCTAGAGCCCCAGAGTGGTAGATTGGGTGGGGTTGCCCAAGAGTCCACTTTATTCTGGTCCTCATCCTGAGCAGTGAGGTGTGACTGAGAAAGTCTGGTTGGCCTCAGAAAGTGCACACAACCTTGAAGCATGATTTAAAAAAAAAAAAAAAAATATATATATATATATATATATATATATATATATATATATATATATATATAATTGATTTTTTTACAGAGAGGAAAGGCGAGGGGTAGAGAGCTAGAAACATCGAAGAGAGAGAAACATTGACCAGCTGCCTCCTGTACGTCCCGCACTGGGGATGTGCCCACAACCAAGGTACATGCCCTTGACTGGAATCGAACCTGGGACCCTTCAGTCCGCAGGCTGACGCTCTATCCAATGAGCCAAACTGGTTAGGGCTTGAAGCATGATTTGTGAAATCCCTCCAGATGCTGGCAAGTTGAGACAGACTTTAGGATCCAAGGAGTTTAAAATGGTGGTTAAGAAATCATCCATGTTCTAATTATAGATGGTTTTTTAGTGCACTGTGTATTTTACTAGTTCAGAAAGCTCTGAGGACAGGTCTGTAGCCTGTGAGCACCTACAGAAATGGGAGGCTGTTTTTTTGAGCAGTGGAGAGAAGCAGCTCAGTGGTACATGTGGGTAGTAATCATAATGAGGGCTCTGTTTCCCCAATGCCTTCCACACTCCAGGCCCTCAGTGCCTCACACACATCTCCTCATCATAACAGCCCAGAAAGGTTGGCATGGTGACTCCTCTGTCTCTTGAGGTCTATAAGGAACGGTTGCCTACAGCCTTGAAATTAACTGAGTGGGTAACCCATATCTCAGATGAAAAATATGTGGTCCGGTGAGGTTTAGGACATGAATGCAGGTTTATCCTGAATCACCAAAGCAGAGGGCATGAATGCAGACACTTACAGGATTGAGGTAGGTCAGTAGTCGGCAAACTCATTAGTCGACAGAGCCAAATATCAACAGTACAACAACAGTACAACAACTCTTGTGAGAGCCACATTTTTTAAATTTAAACTTCTTCTAATGTCACTTCTTCAAAATAGACTCGCCCAGGCCCTGGTATTTTGTGGAAGAGCCACACTCAAGGGGCCAAAGAATTGCATGTGGCTCTC